GGAGAGGGTTTATTTATCAACAGCACCGATAAAGAGTCAGATGGGTCTCCATTTGTGTTTCTGCCACCCCAAGAATAATAGCTGGGAACACTGTGGTCCTTTCCCTTTGTTTTTTCTCACGACACAGGTGTGGTCCTTTTTCTTTCTGAATTAGCACCGAGCATGGAGACCTGCTCTCGCTGCTGCTCATGTCTGTTGAGTGACTGAGACGGCCCTGTGCGTGGACTGGCTTCCTTTTGAGGCTAGGTCTTAGGTGAAATGAAATGCAGTGCTGTCTTTTTATTGTCATCATTTCTCTCCCCATCCTTTGAACCCCACATCTGGGGGGTTTGTCCTCCCAGGAATGTACATCCGAGAGCCGTGAACAATTGTGGTCAATCTGTGGCATGCATCAGACAAGAGTGAGTAAGATGTTTGATTTCGTGCTCATGTTTTGAGTTGAGAGGACCGTGGCCCAGAGGCTGGTTCTGCTGCTTTTTGAGCTTCATCACCCTCCGCCTGTCTGCCATGTCACTGCTGTCACTTCAGCTGTGTGTGACTTTCCTGGGTATAGGCATTAGACTCCCTGCCTCAGAATCTGCTTACATTAACTATTGTCTGCTAAAAATTGTGACTATTTGATTTATTTTTCCCTTTAAGCATCCGTTTTGATTTATAAACCAAGCCAAGTTAGCAGCCATGAAGACTGAGGAATCCTAGTTTCTAACAAAGAAAAATGAAACACAGTTTCTGCCTCATGTCTGTGAGCAAGCCTCAGCTGTCAGTTGGCCCACCCTGAACAATCTTGAAAACAATCCACTTTCTGCTACGCAGAGGTGCCAAGCAGAGGAATTCACAGTGAGAGGTGTTAAGATGGAGAGCAGTTGCTCAGGGACTGTCCTATGTAAGTACCTCGCTTCACCTTTGCCACAAGTCTGGGAGCCATGACAGCTGGATCACGGTTCTGCAGATATAGAGAACAGGATTTTTTGGCTACCAATGGATGGTACATGAAGGCCAAGGAAAAGCAGACATTCCATTTAACTTGGGGAAACGCAAAGAGTAGACACCCTGCCAGGTATATTTTGTGAACATGCTCCTTGGTCATAAGGTTCTTTGCAGTCTTTTCATTAAATTGCCTTGTCTACCTCTTTGCCTCAAGACTTGTGTGTCAAAGAAAGGCAGCATTCCTGAAGATGCCTAGATAGGTATATTAACTAAGCTTTAATCCCAACCAGGAATGGAAAATCAGAGTTCACCTTTGCTCTCCTCACAGTCAGAGGTAAATCTAAAACCGATTTCTCATTTCTCTGTGATCTGTAGAGAGAGGAAGTGAATTGGCCTCTCTGTAAAGTTTAAGAGAGCTTCATCCAGATAAATTCATATTCCAGTTTCTTGTTTATGGGTGAAAATGATTGTCATTCCTGCTCACAACCCCACTCTACCTGGTCTCATACACTTTGTGGCTGGCCAGGTATATGGCCATGTGGATGGTGCCAAGAACCCGAATGCAGTCCTCCAGCCTCACTTCTTCAGTCTGTTATTTAGCAAAGATTTACTGAGTCCCTGCTGTGCCCAGCTCAGTGGAAGGCAGGGAAATGTGTATCCAGTCCATCCCCAAGTCCTGCTGGTTTGGCCTCCTGAATGTCTCCTGACTCTGTCCGCTTCTTCATTCTCCCTCACTTCATCCTAATCCAAGTTGCTGTCATCTCTCAACTGTCTGCAGGAGGGAGCATGGTCTTGGCTCTTTGGACTGAGGGCAGCCAGGAGAGGGAGCTGGCTGGGAGCTATCAGGAGCTTCAGACTGCAGGGGCGAATCCGGGTGGGGATCCCACAGCATCAGTGATAGGACAGATAAGTAGATAGACAGACAGATGTAACCAGAGCAGTTGCTCCATGAAACAACAGCTGCCATTACTACATGCTCTACGCTGATTTTTTTTTTTTTCTATTTGATTTGATTTAGTTTCATGGTTCTGGTGGTATACATTTTGAAAAAAATGACAGCACTGACTGTGATCAGTAGTGTTAGTATAGGAAGCTGTGGAAACACAAAGGTGCGGTATTCATTTGTAATTGGGAAATTGAGGACAACTTCCTCAAAAAAGCAGGATTGAATCGAAGCTAAGCAAGAAAGGGGAAGGAGAACGAGCCACTCTACCTGTGTGTGAAGGTCCTTGAGTGTGAGGACGGAGATGGTGGGGGAACGTCTGCATTTTCAACAACCCTGGTTTGCTTGTGTGCTCCCTTAGAAACATGTATTTTGTGACCTAGAAATGAAAGTACTCTCTCTTCCAGGCTAGACTCAGGCTAGCAGCGCCAAAGGCTTCTTGCTCTTTCTTAGAAAATAGCAGCAATAACAGAGATGAGGCTTTCATGGCGATTTCAGACAAAACTGTTGTCTTTCCCTTGCATTCATTTTAGGGAGAGGGTAAAGGAAGGAATAATCAGTTGAATCTAGAAAGAGAAAGTTTATTGGGGAGTCAAGAAGGCGGAAGGCATCCCAGACCAAGAAAACACACCGTCAGAGAGGCAAGAAACAATACGGTCCATTTAGAGAACTGCAGGCAGTTTTGTCTCAAGGGCCGTGGAGAAAGAGCCAGTGGGAGCCTGCCTAGGTGGTGTGGCAGAAAGGAGGTCAGCTCTTAGGAGTTTGCCTTCACACAGCTGTATGGCACTAGTAAAAGAATTTCAAGGTAAGTCAGCTGTGGAATATCAAGCAGACCCTCTGCATTTGTCTAGTTTCCCTACCTTCTTTCAGTGCTTGCCTAGAGAAAGAGCCATTGTTTAAGGTATGCTCTATGGCCTTACTTTAAAGCTGCTGATTCCTTTGCAAAGGTCATATTACAGCCTCACAGACTCTTACTGGGACCTAGATGACCCTGGAGGTCATTCAGTGTTTATCAACGCAGGGCTCTGTTGGGTCTTCCTTGTGTGAGGGTTGACCCCTGCTCTGCAGGCAAGTCAGAGTTCTCTGCCCCTGGTGCTAACAGCAGCAGCACTGCTCCCCCTTCGGTCACTGTGAAAACTAAACTTCCCAGCGCTCCTTGGGGTAGAAAGGGGTGGTGAGGATAATACCTGCTCCCTCCCCTCCCACAATCACTGAGCCCAGTCTCCCCACATTTTGCGGATGGGAAACAAGATGAACCTGGTAGTCATAGGCAGAGCAGACCCTGGAATTCTGGTCCAGGGCGTTTGCAGGGTGACATGCCATCCCTCTCCCTCCATCTCATGACAGTTGAGATGAGTATGAAGGCCATACCTGTGACCCTATCATGTTGCTGATTTAATGTCTCCTTCTTTGTGCTCTTCTCAGGGTGACATGCCATCCCTCTCCCTCCATCTCATGACAGTTGAGATGAGTATGAAGGCCATGCCTGTGACCCTATCATGTTGCTGATTTAATGTCTCCTTCTTTGTGCTCTTCAGAGTGAGGAGGAAAGAAGGGGAGCAAAATGGGGCTGAAAGGAGGAGGAAGCACTACTAGAATCAGAGTAAATAGATTTGAAAAGCTGAGATGTGTGAGAAGAAAAGGGTCGGTAGAGAAGGCAGTTAAGGGGGCAGAGGAATGGGAAGAATTAAAATGGTAGGGGAGAGAGGTAGCAGAGAAAGGGAAAGATTCAAGAGCATGAAGATACAGTGGCTCTCAATTACAAAATTGGCCCAATCATGTTTTTTAACACAATTAAAAAAAAAATTGGCTCAACCAAACTAGCACGTTTTCCCCAAATTCAACTACTGAATCTAAATCACACTATAAACCGGTCACCTTTTCCCAACCACAAGCATACCTGCCTCCATTACCTGCTGCTGTTAATGTATAAACATGCCACATCATCTAAGGAAGGCACTCACTATTCCAGGCACTGGAAATACAACGATGAGACTTGGCCCTTGCCTTCATGGAACACATAGCCTAGTAGGGAAGACAACATTTAAAATTAATCATGAGACAGGACCATAAATAATTATAGCCATCATCTGCTGACAGCTAATCTATGCCAGGCACTATTAAGCACTTTGTATATACATTATGTCATTTCAACCTCACTGCAATCTCTATGAGTTAGGTATTATTATCTCCATTTTTCAGATGAAGAAACTGGTGCTTAGAAGGTTAAGGGACTTGCTTCAGGCCGTGCAGCTGGGATTTGAACCCAGCTGGTCTCAGAAGCTTTGTTATACTGCCTGATAGCAGTAATAGACAAAATGTATTTTGGAAGCTATGTGTAAAATGCATTTAGAAGTAATGAGTATGACTGTGCTGTTGTCTGAGAGTCAGACATAGATGTTAAGTTTTCTCAAAGAGCAAGCGAAGAGAAAGCTTCTCTTGTGGGCTTATCCTCCCCGACACGCGATCCTTTTCTGGTTCTGCTGTCTGGTTGCTGCTTCATTGCGGTTCCAAAGACCAAAGGTGCCCAGCTTGGGGAGGCAGTTGCTAATGCTCAACACTGTCTCCTTGACCACAAATTTGGATTGATTGCTGTCTGTTTTATTTTAGATTCCCTCTTAAAATAAATGGATAATCTCAAGTGAATTATAGCAGAATAATATCCAGTTGAAGCTGTTACAATACAAGATATTTTAAGAATGAAAGAAACTAAAGTTTTTTCAGTAAAACTTAGTGTTTTTGACAGAGGACGTATTTGTATGTCTCCTCCACCCGGCCTAGCTCCCCTTCCACATAAATCTGCCTCTCACACAAGCCCTGATCTAACGCCTTGGAGGGGAGGTAGAACCAAATTGTTCAGCATTGTGTTTTTTATTTAACTTGACACCCACTTGAATGGGTGAAATATGGTGAAAATAAACCCAAAAGACAAAGTGATGGGGTCTGTTTTGCAAAATAAACACTAAAAGAAATGGATCTTCAAAGTATTTAAGATTTCTTTGTGCGTAGGTCTTTCTTCCCCATTGACATACTGTAACATTGATGTAGTCAGTCGTTCTTTGTGGTTGGAACTGAAGGCTAAGATCGCTCATCAGAACTAAATCGTCTTTTATTATTTTATTCTTTACAGGGTCGTCATGTCAAAACAGGCCAGCTTGCAGCCATTAAGGTTATGGACGTCACAGGGGTAATGTATCTTTATCTGGCCATTTCAATAGCTATGTATTTGTAACAGAGAAGTTATTGTGATAGAAAAAGAGCATTTTCCAGAAAAATAATTTTCTAAATATCTAAGATCTTTCCCCACTTGAGCTTCACATAAAGAACTGAGAATGTGCACCAGTTGACCAAGGAGAATGCAGGTAAATCGCTCTGATTAAATTTGATACCTACACACTGCTTTGTGTAGTTGAAGTGAATAATGTGTTCCAGTAATTTACATAAACAACTACGGATATTTGCATATGAAGCAGAACAAGGATATTGAGGTATTAAAAGAATAATACTGAGATTACAAAGAAGAGACGGGTCTTAGTTTTCCCAAAGGCCTGCCTAACACTGGAGTAGACAAGAGCTTGGACAGCTCTAAAACCCTAGGATATTTAACAGGACTGTTTCCCAAAACAAAATATTATTGACTGAAAGCACAATAACCACAAGTTCTTATTATTATAGAGCAACACTGAAACAAAATTTCTGCTTGGGTGATCAAAAGCAGTCTAAGGAATAGACTTTATTTTAAATGCAATCTAAAGCTTTCTATCCTTTCCCTAGGTCTATTTAAAATATTTTAATGCCTTTTTAAGAGTACAGAGTGAAAATCAGACTTGAAAGGATTCAGCGGACATCAAAAGTATGTTAATAATTTTCTATTGTCCTGGGGATTTTTCTAAGTCTGTCTGCTGTACATAAAAGGTAAAAGACCAAAGTCTTTTCAGTCCAGAAGTGGATTATTCAGTATAAATAGACATAGAATGAATGGGTCACACAAAGGTATTAAGAACCAATATACAAATAAGAAAGACACACAGTATGTCTGTATGTCAGACTTCACTTCATACCTTTTGGGGCCCAGTTTTTTACCTTTGATAAGTATATGTATGATAGTTACCTACCATAATACCAATTTCATTAATTTTCATTTATACTGCACATTGTATTGATTTTCTCTCCTTACTTATTATTAATCTGACTTCCTCTTTAAATCATATATTTTTTTAACCAGTAAAAAATGTTGTTTCCGTGTATTTATTACTACTTGGATAAAGTACTACTTCTTTTAATTGGTATTAAATACATTATTCAAGTTTTACAGGTTGCAAATCAGTTAAAATATTTTAATCCCTATTAGTATATTAATTTGCCTGGCCTTTACTGAATAAGAAATTGCATGAAGATTAGATTAATTAGGTTTAAGCACTGCCACTTGAAACAAAAAACTCAAAATAATAGAGGATTAAGCATGATAGCAATGTCTTGCTCTCTCATGTTAAAGAAGTCTAGAGGTCGATAGTCCAGGGCAAATTGCATGAAGATTAGATTAATTAGGTTTAAGCACTGCCACTTGAAACAAAAAACTCAAAGTAATAGAGGATTAAGCATGATAGCAATGTCTTGCTCTCTCATGTTAAAGAAGTCTAGAGGTCGATAGTCCAGGGCTGTGTGGCAGCAAAGTGGTGAAGTTGAAGGATGTTTTTGTTTTTATCTTTCTGCTCCATTCTAACATATGGCCTCCACACTTAAGGTCAGTTCATGGTTCAAAATGGTGGTCAGATGTCCAATGATGACACTTTTTGACAGGCAAAAAAAAGGGAAGAGGGTGAGCAAAAGAGTTCAGAAAAGTCCCTTCCAGTGAAATCTTTTCTGCTTCCATACACTATTTCTACTTACTTCTGCTTTCATTGGCTGTATTTAGTTGCAAGGAAAGCTGGGAAATGTAGCCTTTTACTCTACCAGTGTGTACCGATAAAAATCCAAGTTCTATTAGTCAGATATGAAGGGAGGATGGATATTGGGATGGTCAATTAGCAGGGTCTGAAACAAAAATCAAAACCAGATATTGTCAGTCTCTACATAGGAACCCATTATAAATGGGTAAACCTTTTACCAAGCTCCAACCACAGAACAAATCAGAATTTGTTCTGCAATTCTGCTGAAGTCATACTACTATATTTTCCTTGGATTGAATAGAATCTCTGCGTAATGAGATGCACTTGGCAGTTTAACAACTACTGGTTGTGGATGGAGTCCAAGACTTTCCTGCTGTAGATTAAGTTCTATTGTGTGGTTCTGAAGAACTACAGTTGAATTCCACTGACGTCATCAATCTCAGTGCATAAAGGTGAATGTTGATGCGCAAAATATGACTTGAGAGCATCGAATATTAATATCACTCTTCCGAATATTGCTCTTCTAGTTTCTAGTTCTATTTGTGAGGCTTTAGACTACCTTGCTTGGAATCAAAAGTTATACAGTTATTTTTAGCAGTTTATATTTTCAGCTTAAGGAGTGTCAGCCTTTCTAAAGTGGGTTTTATTAGGCAACTGAACCCTACAGGAAATGATTACAGAGACTATTTTCTCAGTTCTCCCAAGGATGGTACAGAGAGCTAAGGTCATTATAGATGCATGGGAAAGTCAATTCATTATTGAATGAGTGAGTTGGGAAAAATAAAACCGAGTGTTTTTCTCCCTCTCACGGCACAGTTATCAACACACAAGACCGACTTCTGTGACCAAGTGTATGAGGATTTATCCCCCACTGGCAAGCAAGCTGGCAGTTCTTCAGCAAGCACCAGCTGGGTGTCCTCCAGTTCAATTTTGACACTATCTACCTGGAGGTAGCATCAGATCCCACAGCTTGAGGGCACAGTCCCCAAGACTGCCACCCACTTCAGATGCCAGCTGCAAGTCCAGGCCTCTGGAACTTCTGACCAACCAGCTATAAATCCCACAACCTCTTTCTTGGGTTTGATTAGTTTGCTTGAGCGGCTCACAGAATTCAGGGAAACACATAGTTACGTTTACTGGTTTATTATAAAGGATACAGATGAGGAGATGCAGAGAGTAAGGTTTAGGGGAAGGAGCGTAGAGCTTTTATGCCCTCCTCGGGGAACGCCATCCTCCGGGGATGAACCTCCACGTGTTTAGCTGTCTGGTAGCTCTCCTGACCCAGACCTCCTGGGCTTTTATGGAGGCTTCATTACATAGGCATGATTGATTAAATCACTGGCCACTGGTGATCAACATAACCTTCAGCCCTTCTCTAGTCCCCAGAGGCTGGGGGGTGAGACTAAAAGTTCGTCCTTGGTCTTTCCTCTGTCCAGCCCCTATCTTAAAGGGGGCTGCCAGCCGTCGTCCACATATGGAAAGACTCAACACTTTGGAGATTCTAAGGATTCTAGGAGTTGTATGTGAAGAGAAAGGAATGAAGACCAAATATATATTTTCACAAAAGCATAATTACATACAATGAGTGCTTTATAGCATTTAGGCTTAATTCTCTTGGGGAACGCCTGTTGAGAAGGAATACTTTCTGTGATTTAGTCACATCACTGACTATTATTTAACCACTGACCGTTAACAAAGGCAAACATAGATCACATCGGGAAATGGTTTTCTTAGTTCCATGGTGTCTGATGTGGCTTCAGATGACTTTTGTATCACCCCTTACACATCACAGTCAACATAAGATTTCCTTTGTGAAACTCATGTGGTGCTTTTAGAAAACAATCTATTCCATTTTGTCACGTTGTCTTTTGTGTATTATGGAATGCTGCAAAAGCTTCTTACCAATTATTATAATTGTGCTCATTATAGCTGCTCTGTTAAAAACTGTGATGAATTCTCAAAGGTCATCTTTGTTAATTGTATGCTGTGACCTACTGCAAAGTTACTATAGTTTATTGTAATGAAATTGATGAAGCCATAAGCTTGAAATAAATTTTTAAATTATTGTTTTATTCCATATTTCTTCCTTTTCTTATAGAAAACAGCCTCAGAGAGAACTGGATAGAATGCTTATAGCCTCCCAGTTTTAGAACTGAGACATTTACAAATTTGCCAACATTTGCTTCAGAAGTAGTGCATAAACTCAGACTTGGTCTTTGAAGTTCTTTTAGTTTCATTTTAGAAATCATTGTGGAAATTTCCTCCTTTCATCACTTCCTGGGGTCTCCTTCCCAGCCTGATTTGTGTACTCTAGATTGACCTACGACAGCTAAGAGAAATTGGACATTCTAGGGTAGTGTTTCTCAAGCTGGACTGCCAGCATCAGTGGACTCTCTGCGCCCCTGTGGTGGTCACAAGAAATGCAGAGTCCTGGGCCTGCTGTAGAATTTCTGGGTGTAGCTTCAGAACCGGCCTTTTCTACAAGCTCCTCAAGGAGCCTCACACATAACAAGGTCAGAGGACCACTATTACAGGGTCTTGTATTTACTCTTTTCTGACTACCAAGTTTGAAGGGATTGTGGTTCTTTGATAATGCTGTAAATAATCCCCATTTTCATTTGGATAAAAATTCCTGGTATAAACTAATCCCTTTTCAGTGACACCCTGTAGTGCATACACAAGTTTATGAAATAATAACTTAATATCACAAGCTTTCACCTTTACAATGACTGGTCGTGATTAAATTACTCAGGATGCTTTGGGTTGTAGTACCAAACCTCCACTCAAACTGAATGAAGCTGAAAAGGGAATTCACTAGCTTGTATAAATTTAAATAAAAAAACAAAAACCCTCAGCAGGATCCAGAAAGTCACATGATAGGATTAGGAATTTATCTCTGGACTCTGCTTTCTTACACCAGCAGCACCAGCTCATTTGCTAGTGACCTCATCATGGTCAGTCCCAGCAAATCCCAGTCTGAATGTCAGTGGCCCAGCTTGGGTCATATCACCATCCCTGAACCATTCCCTGGTTCTCTTCACCCGCATCTGCGTTGAGTGCTGGGCTCTGGAACCTACCACAGGGACTGAGAGTTGGGAAGCGTTAATTCCTCAAAAAAAAAAAAAAGGAACAAAAGAAACCCTGAGAGCCATTACAGAAAGGAATGGAAAGGATGCTGGGTAGGTAAAAACAGAATTCCATTACTATGACATCACATTGTTATAGCAGATGTGTTTAAAACTGATTTGGTCCTTAAGTAAATTGCCTCTCTAGTTACATTTTTCTGTATTCCAGCCGA